CTCCTTAGATAACCGCTCTGAGCAGTGTTCCCTCTAGCTGAGTTTCTGTGAGCTAGCTCACAGGTTTTTTTAGCCTCCGGCTCACACATCTTTGTCTTTGCTCAGGAAGGAGGGCTCCAAAGCAAACTAATTTATGCAGAAGCCAAATTGCTGGCTCACAACTTTAATGCCAGTAGCTCACAAAGTAGAATGTTTGGTCACAAGACTCCACAGCTGAGAGGGAGCATTGGCTCTGAGAAAACTTGTGACTGACCCAAGATCACACCAGCAGCTGCATATGTGGAGGAGTGGGGAATCAAACCCGGTTCTCCCAGATTAGAGTCCGCGCTCCTAACCACTACACCAAACTGGCTCTCATTCTTAGTATTCTAAGGTGCCTCGAACATAGAAAGGTGAGATTAAAAAAATACTCCTAATAAATAAATGAAATCATTGTGTTTAGACATGACTGCTAATCAGAACCTCCATATACATGGGCAATACACCTCTGGTGCTAAATAAGAAGGCGGTGATTTTCATGCTCAGCATGTGATGTTCCAAGAGGAAGAGGAAGAAGAAGAGAAGTTATTGGATTTATACCCCGCCTTTCACTACCCAAAGGTGTCTCAGAGTGGCTTACAAACTCCTTTCCCTTCCCCTCCCCACAAAAGGCACCCTGTGAGGTAGGTGGGGCTGAGAGAGCTCTGACAGAAACTGCTCTTTTTCAAGGACAGCTCTTATCAGAACTACGGCTTGCCCAAGGTCATCCAGCCAGGTGCAAGTGGAGGAGTGGGGAATCAAACCCGGTTCTCCCAGATTAGAGTCCGTGCCCTTAACCACTACACCAAACTGGCTCTCTGGTTTGTCATCTGGTTGATCTATGATATACCCAGCAAGGTATTTTTTAATGTTATTAAAGGAAGCATTGTGGGATTGGATCCCCTAAGAACTGTTCTATGCATTTAAAAAGTCCACTCTGATCACACAGAGTAAATAATCCCCTTTCAATCCCCTTTCGATGCACTTTCAAACTGGATTTTGTCAGTACACACAGTCAAATCCAGTTTGAATGTGCACTGAAAATGGATTCTTTAGTTTTTTTCTGATCACAGCCTTGAGAGCTTCTTTCGGAACCAGGGAGGACTTGACAATAGAAGTTCAGCGTCTTAACCACTTGAGCTCCCAATATAGCAAAGGGAGCTTTGAATCTTGAAAGCCCCTACCCTGAGATCCCTGCTGGTCCCAAAGCTGTTACTGGACTCAGACCTAGCTGTTCTGCTGCAGACCAAACACCCTCTCAAACAGGAAGGATCTCCTCTGTCTAAAATTTCATATTGTCTTACATCCTTCCACATATTGCAGTGAAGCATCCCATTAAAGCCTATGGTTCCCAGCACCCCAGCATCAAGAGAGAGAGAGAGAAAAGGTGACTTACCAACTGTTCACAGATGGAAGAGGCAGTGAAGGCAAGCGAAGGCAAGCGAATGAAGAACCTGGTCCGATGGTGGCCTTTTTATACGGCTCCGACAGTCTGACCCCCCAGGAAATGAGACACTGCCGGAGAATCCCTTATTTACCATTCAAATGCTTTCTTTCTTTGGTGGCATCTTCCGGTACGAATTCCTTGACTCGATGGTCACTTTTTTAAAAATATAGTGAGCCGCCAGATCCCGAGGATGACTATAATAATGATCCAGAAAATCCTGTACTAACACCAGAAGGCAGCAATGCCCAGAGGACAATTGCGAAGGATGTATGCACTCACGAGGATAATGACATTCAAGAGATGTTGCCCGTGATGTATCCAGTGAAAGAACCATTATTTAAAAGTAGGATCTGGAGCTGCTAGCTTCGTATCTTTTCCTTATCTGTCAGCCTTATCGACGCACTTGGCTGCCCTGAAACCTCAGCGTTTCTCTCCATAGAAACATAACATACAACATTTGTAAGTCCTTTAATGATAAAGACAAGATAGGTCCAGGTGGTAGCCCTGGCTGGTTGGATTTGCCAAAGGGCATCATGCACCTATGTCACAAATGAAGGACTAATTGACTTCCAGTTCTGATCTCTGTCCAAAGGCCATCTCGAGCTTCCAACTCACCCAATTTCGCATGTTTACTCTGTTGGCTTCCGCTAGGATGAAAGTATAGATGGTCATGTGACCCACTCATCCTGGCCCCAACGACAAAAAATGGAAAAAAAATCAGTGCAAGAAGGAGGTTCGGGCGCCCTAATCGCATTCATAGCGAGAGATGGCTGTCCAGATTGGCAAAATGGCTGATTCACAGTGCAAATATTTGGAAAGTCCTTGATTTTCCTGGTGTCAGAAAACTCGCTAGGGAACCAGGAGAATTGTGGGGGTGAGTCTGCTTTGATAAGGGAGGCAGCTGCAGCTGTCTGATCATCCCTTTTAAATGCAATAGGGAACTGTTAGCAGATGAGCTGAATATTTGTTTTTATGTGTTTATGTTTGCTGACACACACACTCACTGCCATGGACTGTGACTATGAATCCCTATGGGTTTGGGACAGCTGTGTGCTTTGAATTCTGTGGCTGCTTCACCTGAGAGCTGCCCTGCCTGCACTTTAGGCTAATGAGGTCTACACCCACACACCCCCAGCCTGAGGGAGAAGAAAGCATCACCATTGTGGGTCAGCACAAACAACAACTTTTATGGTTTCAACCACCATGAGTGAACTCTAAGGAGACAGGTAACCCTTGGTATCTGGTTTGCATCTAAAAAGACAGTTTCCTGCCAAATGGTCGTTTTATGGCTTGGGACCAAGCTACATCCATCTACACTTCAATGGCTGCCTTGGCATCATCTTCACACCTTGACCAGATGCATCCCCTGAGTTAAAGGTTTAGATTTCAATATTGCCCACTCCTCCTAGGTAGAGACGTCATTACCTAATACCCAATAGTGTTAAAGTCCTGGGACGGACCACAGGTAGGAAGGACAAGGAGGATGGCATTAATGCCAGCCCCCAAGAGCCCCCTATATAAAGTGAGGTTCAACAGTTTGAACCCCGCTAGCCATCTTCTCTCTTAAGCTATTTACTTGCAGCCCTGCTGTACAAGTAACTCTTTGTTCTTACTGATCCATTGGACTGCAGCCAAGAGGTCAGCACGTGTTGGCAGGTTCCAACCGTGTGCATATAGATTCCTTATAGTTATTCTAGTCTCATTCCTGTATTCGTCACTGAGAAGGTCAAGCTTCGGATCAGATAAGTATTGGCTACTTCCCTTCCCATCCTTTAGTGTAAAAGTGACTATTTCCTACTTCTGCAACCCTGAGGAACTCATACGATTGTGTGTATGTATGTGAACCAAATATTATTATCCAGTAAAAGAACAACTTGATTTCAATATATGGGTCTGGTCTCCTTTTATACCACTGGGAAATTCCTTGGGTCGGTTTTGGACTTCTGTATACACAGGCAAAAGGACCCCAAACATTTAGTCTGGCCTCTGCTGTAGATAAAGCAGTTTGGCTAACAGAACAGTGCTGAAACTCAATCAAAGTGACTGTGTGACCACAGCCCATGTCATCACTGAGGTGGTTTTCTGCAGGTGCTTTTTGGCACAACCTTGTGGGAGACATAGTGCCCCCCAGAATCATATAATGGCCTGACTCAACCATCTATGATCGTGTTGGAGGGGATTCAATGTCATCTGGTCTGCAGATGTATGGGCAGTTTGAAAAAAATACCCAAATAAATGGGAATCGCAGTGTAAGTTACATACTAAATACAAAAAAGCAATCACTGTGATATATAGGTGGCTCTACTTTATTTGGTAAAACAGCATACAATAACAACCATTCAAAGAATCTTATATCGCCATTTTCAAAAGGACTCATCCTTGTGTGATTATAAAACAAGACAAGTAGCCAGTTGTAAACTCATTTCATGTTACAACTTCTTCAGAAGTTTTCATTCTTCATTAAGTATCTTTCTCTTGTTGTTCTGTGTGGTTATCTTCCTATTGTCGCAATACAGCTTTTATATAAGGAACTTTTTTTCATTCTCAGAACTGTTAAACCTCACTGGTAAAGGGGACATATATTATCCTACATATATAAAAGCCCTAGCGTATTGGCACTTTCTGGCTTTCGTGCTGGCTGTGCTGTGCGCGCCATCAGCCATTGGCCCATCAACCGACACTCAAGAGTACTCACGTACCATTGGCTGGGTGCTGGGTCCACTCCTCTCCCGTGCCCACTGCCAGTTTGGCCACTATTCCCTGTCTGAGTAAACTGCCTAAACAGCTGTTTCTCCTGACAAAGATGTTTCTACTGCTGCTTGGCTCCTCCACGGATGGCTACTGAGGTGAACCACCGGCCATCAAACCATTCTCTTCTCCTCCTGCTGTGGCCACTTTCCCCTCAGTGGCTGTTGCTGGGCAGCTAAGCTTGGTTCTGTCAGTAAAAAGACAGGGGCATGAGGCCCTTTTCAGGTCTACTTTGGCCTTTGTGGGGAATGCATTGGGGCCAGTCCTGACTAGGGTTGCCAGCTCCATGTTGGGAAATTCCTGGAGATTTTGTGGTGGAGTCTATGGAAGCCAGAGTTTGAGGAGGAGAGAGGCCTCAGCTAAATAGACTGTCATAGAGTCCACCCTCCAAAGCAGTTATTTTCTCCAGGGGGAGAGAGAGATCTGTTGTCTGGAGTTCAGTTGTGATTCCAGGTGGTCTTCAGGCACCATCTGGAGGTTGGCTACCCTAGGCCTGGCAGCACCCTCTGCATGACTTGATGACAGCTGACTGTCATGAATTAAGTAGGCCTAGCTACTTGCTCCTGTTCACCACCAGCAGCCCCCCTAGGATAGCCAGTGTGGCATAGTAGTTAGTGCTTCAGAGCATGGTCTGCCAGGCTAGGTTCTTCCTGTGAAAGCTGAGTGGGTGATTTCAGATCACCCAAAGACTTTCAGCCTAACCTACCTCACAGGGTTGTTGTGCAGATCGAAAGGGGGAGAGGAGAATGATGTGAGCTGCTTTGATCCCCACTGTGGAAAAAGACTGTACTTTTCCTAGGTAGAGGTAGAGAGAGGGGGGAGGAGATGGAAACCTGAAGTCAGAGGGGTAGGTAAAGGTAGGTTGATGGTTGGCTGGGAAGGATGGAGTTGCCAACTCCAGGTTGGAAATTCCTGGAGATTTGAGGGGTGGAGCCTGGAGGTGGTGGGGTTTGAGGAGGGTTGGGACCTTAGACAGGTACAATGCCATAGACTCTACCCTCCAAACCAGCCATTTCCTCCTGGGGAACCATTGTTGCCAATCTCCAGGTGAAGGCTGGAGATCCCTCAGAATTACAACAACTTTGCTGATGGCAGAGATCAGTTCCCCTGGAGAAAATCGTGGACTCTGCCAAGGTCGCCACAACAAATTGTCACTGAGTGACCAAGGTCAGGGCACCCACCCAGAGCCTCTTTCTAGAGCTCATTGTATTTATTTCCACAACATTTATTCCTATTTTTAAAATACTGTTTATATTGATAATGGATTTTTAAAGAAGTAAAGGCAAGCCTAATTTTAAACAGAAAAAACCCCCCCCCCCCCCGTGCTAAGAAAGTCGCCCCCACTAGACACGAAAGAATGTGTTGGGAGACAGTGTAGTTCTCTCTATCTGCTAACAGATAGAGTTGCCGATAAGTGGCATGTCTCAGAGAAAAAAGGCCACATCTGTTTTGAACTGCTTGAAAGAGAACACCCTCCCCATGTGTTCTAATAAATTAAAGAAGTAAATTTATTTAATAAGGGTTTTAAGTATCTGTGTGCTTATAGTTAAAGATAAGTTATTCTGTCTGCTTAAAAGCCAAGTCTTATAGCTAATGGGTTTACATGGTTTAAAGCCAGCCATCATTAAATTCTGAAGTTGGCATGCACATCTCTAAAAAGGTAACACACTTGTTTTTGCAAGAGCCCCATTGTTACATATTTTGGGTGTCATAAAGGAAGCTGAAAAGATGAGAGCCAGTTTGGTGTAGTGATTAAGTGTGCAGACTCTAATCTGGGAGAACCGGGTTTGATTCCACACTCCTCCACTTGCACCTGGCTGGATGACCTTGGGCAAGCCATAGTTCTGATAACAGCTGTTCTTGAAAAAAGAGCAGTTTCTTTCAAGAGCTCTCAGCCCCACCTACCTCACAGGGTGTCTGTTGTGGGGAGGGGAAGGGAAAGGAGTTTGTAAACTGCTCTGAGACACCTTTGGGTAGTGAAGGGCGGGGTATAAATCCAATCTCCTCCTCCTCCTCCTCCTGAAAATAAATTTTAGTTTTAAAGACAGCAGCCCTAAGAAGGGCTGTGAAAACAATTGTCATGTTCAAGGTTAGACACCAGATGAAAAAACAGATGTAGTAATGTTGTCATCCAGGTTTTTACAAGAAGTCTTTGATTTCCAGAGTAACATTGGAAATGTCTCGGACATGAGCCAAAGGAAAAATGCCAAAAATACAATAAAGAGAAAATCCCAAAGGAAAGGTAGACAAATTATGGTCTTTTTAAAAGAAGCCTCATGAAAACTTTGAAATTGTCCTTTATACAGTTTATGTCTCTGGGACCTGGCATTAAATGTTATGGCAGACATGGCCTGCCCCAACAAAGTGACACTTATGTCAGAT